CCCCCTTCTTTATTTCCCTGATTTCATGACGCTCACGTTGGTTACCCTTTTGTCCTCCTTGCCTATGCTAATTCCACATATGAGCGACGTTCTCTGAATTTTAACTTTTACTTCATTTCATTCCGCTGGCGCCTGACTTGGCCCTAACGGTAATGTCAGAAACAAAAAAGAAAGAAAATTTCAAAATGGTAAAAATTTGTACTTGACAATCTGCATAATCAAGAGCTAGCAAGTGAGCCTAAGTTACCTAAAGTTGTAATGCAAATTATTCAAACAGCTAAGAGGGATAAGTAACGGTAGTAAAATGTAATCGAAAATAAATTTAAAATGTATAAAATTAAAGAAAAGGTGTAGAAAAATACCCACTCCATGAAATATTCAAAGCTTAAACCTTTCATCTATGTTAATTTCCAACCAACTTTAGTTTTAATTATAAATCTAATATTTCTCAAGGCAAAAGTCCAAACAAAAGTGAATAAAAATTCTCACAATAATTCTAATTTAGAGTCGACAACAATAAGGATGGACTAAATGTTGTACCCTTTTTTGGCTTAACCATTTCCTTGTGTATCCATTTCGTTTTCCATTAACAAGTTGCGAAACATAACGCCGACACCACCTAAGAAGGCAGCACCGCGGTCTCCACCTCTTAATTTACTTGTCTCTCATTCGGTTTTTGCATTTCAACTTGGCCAAGGCTCGTGCCATATGCCCCCGCAGGCCATAAACGTTTTTTCTTTATTTTTTTTTTTGTTTTTTCTCTTTTATTATTGTGAAAGCGTTTTGTGCCAAGGTGTGCATAGAATACACAAAAAATAAAAACTAAATAAAAGTAAAATAAAAAAGATTTCGCAATTTCGACCTGTGCTGAGCCTGTTTGTTGTCTGCGTTCCAATAAAAACTGCTGCATTTAATAATGGCTCATAATATTTGTAGGTGGTCTGAGCCACAAAGATATATACAAGTTGAGGGGGTACAAAAATATATATATAAATCTGAGGCTGCGGCAAAACGCCCACAAATTGTGCAAGGCACACCGGCACCGGCTGCTTTTAAACCATTTTCCATCATCCATTAAAAAACCATAAAATATTTGGTTTCGGCTCTCTGATTGCATTTCAGGCGTAGCCGGATCATGTTGGGCAATAATAAATCCGATAAAGGAAAAAATGTTTAATTAGAGCGCTAAATGCTGCCTCCCCTTGGCCCCTCCTCCCCCTTCTTAGCCCAATCGCTCACAGACAATAACGTGATTGTCTATTTTCACATATTAATTTATCATTATAAATAGATTTATTGTCTTACGGGTGTCTCGTTTCGGTTGCAAGACAAAACAAAAGACTTAGGCGACAAACTCGTTTCTTTGTCTCTCCATTTGGGAAAATCTTTTGTTTACCTTTTCGCCAAGGGACTTGGGGCAGTAGAGTTCTCCGATTTGCATAGATTGCAATAGTATATCTTGGTCGGAGATTTTGCTTTGATGGATCAGCAACGATTAAGTTTTAATATGTCGGTGTAATAAACAGTTAAGACTATTTTGAAAAGGCTTAAAGACTTAAAGAAACAAGGCGTATTTGATTAAACATAGTTATAAGATTTATTTATTTATAAAACAATATATTCTTTATGAAAAATATACTTGTTAAAAGACAACAGAAGCCCAAAAACCATCTTGATTTTGCCTAAACACCTGCTAAATATTCCTGACAAATATTTAACTAATTGTCTGACTGCTCTTAGCTCTGCCCTTTACCCTGAACCATTTCGAGAGCTGTTTTTAAATCGAATTTATTGTTTCGTTGTCGATTCGATTTGCTGCTGTTGTTGTTTCCATTTGTTGTGGCTCGGCTTTTGTTATGCTAAAACCAATTGGTGGCAACCTTTTGGTATTTAAACTTGACTTTAGCCAGCGGCAGCTAAAACAAACTTCTCTCTGGGATGGCATTAGATGTTAAAGCTTTATTGTTGCTATTCCCCCGTTGCTATTGCTATTGTTATTGTTATTATAATCCGTGTCTGCCAGAGTCTCCCATCAAGACGTCACGTAATAGGCCGATCGGTCGGTCACTGGTTACACCTGTTTCAGCGCCATCGTCTCCCTGTAACATGGTGTAATGATATGCCACCAGCAGGGTTTACGGTCTACGGTTACTACACGTTTTCCTCCTCAATGAAAAGTTCATCAAACGCATTGGCATGCCACAAGTGGCAATTGCCGTTATGCTCGAGCTATAATCTGCCAAAGTCTTTGACTCGGGCCGAAAATCGACGAACGGAAAATCGGGGAAAAGCTCAATAACATTTAATTTGAGGAAAACCCCCATATAACAGCAGCCATCATCCTTTTGGACTCCTCCCCTTCTGACACTAGCTTAAACAACCGAAAACGGCAATTAAAAATGACGAGTGAAAGTTTTCCTTTTGATTTTTATTCGCACATTTCGCTTAGGAAATGTCGTAATCAAATTTCGATTTAAACTGGCTTCGATATTCGCACGTTTTTTGTGGATTTTTCGGTGTTTTTTTTATTCGTGGCATATGTTAATTTAAATGCGTTTCGTTGAGGCGACAAATTGCCAGTTGGAATCGTGCGTTTGTTGAACTTCATTTGCATAGTTGAGCTGAACCAGTTTATTTAGTGTTTTCTTCTTTTTTCTCTCTTTTTGTTGGGTTGCTGCTGTAAAAAGGTCTTTGATTTTTCGAGTGGAAAGTGAAACTTATCCCAAAAGAAAGTATTGCCTCCCGCGATACATTTTCGACTCGAATTTATACGATGACGGAGGCTCATTAAGTTGTAGGAGTCCAAAGTGACTGGCCCGTTCGCTCAATTTGTTTATTTATCTAAATTCAAATGCATTTGATTAGTCCAGCGAGATAATATTCTAATTATGGCCCAGAGTCACGCTAATGATGATGATTTAATTTATGGCTAAGTGGTTGCGATGACTTTTAACCTACGCCAAGGCAAGTCACAATGGGAACCACAGACTGATGAGGATGGATAACATTTTAGGGTTCGGCCCAAAATTTGTTTACGGCCAAGCAAAATGTAACGCCTCCGCAAAAGGTGTAACTAAAGTTGAGATTTTTAGTGTTTAGTTTTTATGTTTATCTTTGATAAATAAAAAACTGATTTTAAGGAAAGATTTAAGATATACTGGTGGAGTTACAAGGAACTGGTTAATGTTTCTGAAAGTTATTTTTTTTTCTGGGGTTTTATTTTTAATTTCCAATTGCATAAGCTGTTCACCTGCCGTATTTCCCTTTTTAATTTTATGGAATAAGAGAAATCGAAGAGATTGAAATGAATTTCTCACAGGTTTTCAACAAGCTTCGTTATTGCTAAAACGTTTTTTACATTTTCTTTTGAGATCATTTGTCTTCGATCTCCTGTTTTTTATTGGCTCTTCCCAGGCCACTTCCACTTGGACCTTCAATCTCTGTGTGAAATGGATACCGCATGGGAAGTTAATTAAGAAGAAGTCGCCGAAGAAGTGGAAGACATGGGAACTTGTTTCTGATATTGCATCAATTGGAAACCAGAAACCAAAAAAGTGTTGTATCAAACAACAACTCAAGCTAACTCTGGCCATAGCTACCTGCCTGAATATCATAATTATTTCAAGTCATTAAACTTCAAGAAATCAAATCTCGACTACATATCAAAAGTTAACCAAGCAATAGCGCAAAAAAAGAGCCGAAACGAGAAAATCCCGCAACGATAAGGAAATTATGTATTAAACACATTGACGATTGGACAGGCCGCCACCGCCCGTAAAACAACATGATCTCGGGACAGTTAAGAAAAACGGAGAAAAAACTTAACAAGTTGCTACAGCAGCGGCGCAGCAAAAAAAAGAGCGAAAAAAAATCAAGAAAATCTCGCCACACCAACCGATTTTGGCGGCTGTTTAAGTGAATTAAATATTGCGCAACATCTGGAGAGAAAAAAAACAGAAAGAAAAAACACTACTTCTGCAGAAACTTGCCCGTGTTCATTGGCCATATAAACGGTAACAACTTGGACGATCTGAATCTCCCCGGCATCTCCTCGGACCGAGTGTGCATTTGTGGTCGAGCTGTCGCTCAACTGCAGTCCGCAAATGGCTAAAATGCGCGCTCATGACCGCAGGCAATAAAATAATTAAGATGAACATAAAATGCGGGCAAAAAAATGGCTGCATAATTCACACTTTGAGCTTGTTTCAATGTGCTCGAACGGGTCCCAAATGAGATGTGATTTTGATAGAGTTTACTTGGGGTTTTCCCTCACCTATTGAGGGTGGGATAAGGAAGATGAAAAACTGATGGGAAATTTTAAATAATTAAAGGGAAAGATACATGATTGGAAAATTACTTGGAGAGGAATACATGTCTTTCTCAATTGTTTATATTTTGTAAAATTAAATTAAATCGAAATTTCCTAGACAATGTCCCAATTTATCCATATTTTAAACAAAAAAATTTTTTGAAATTGTATTTAACCTTTGAAAATTATTTACTCTTTGGCCAAGCCTAAAAACTTTCAAAAACTCTAAATCGCAGTGAGTTTCCACATTCGATTCCTCATTAAAGTTTCATCAAACAATCGGCAAATTGTAGAGCAATCAAACGAAACAGCGTTAATAACACCCAACTGTCGTCGCAGTGTTTTGTCAATTTTGAGGATTGGTCAACGTGTCGTATACACAATTTGCACAATCCGACGTAGACATTGCCACAGCACCACCACCAAGTGAATAGTAAGTGCAGCAGCAAAAGCAACTCAAAGTGCAACCGAGATTAGTAAACAATTATGGTTTATTCGCGAAATTGCAAGAAGTTAATTCAAACCCAGCAATTGGCGGCGGCGACGAATAAATTTATTCGTAGGGCGTTAACAACACAGAAACGGAAAAACGGGAAAATTGCACAAGAAAAGTCTGCGGATCTAGTAATTGTAGACTCTACCGACAGGGTAATTCATTTCTTGAAAATAATTCCATTTGAACACAACTCACTTGTCAATGTAATCGATCGTTTCGATTTCCTTTTGTATCTTTTCCGCACTAAGACATTCCTCATCCAAATTGGCAGCATCTGAAATAGGGAAATAAGGTTTATAATTAGTTTACATATTACTGGGAACTCCTATGTCTTTGCACATTAACCATGTCTGCATAAAATTTATGAGTTTCGTTCACAGCAAAATGGTAAACACATGTCAACTCCAACACGGCCAACATAAATTATAATTAGCGTGGCAAAAACAAGAACTGCAATGGGACAAAACTCACGCACTCTAAGCTCGAAAAGAAAAAGGTGTACAGGTAATCCCGTTTAACCTTAGAATCACATGTTGAATATATAGACACAGATTTTGCAGACATATAAATCGTTGTTCGTGGCATGATTTATGAGACAGCAGCCACAGCTGAGCGATACATATAGATCACTTCAAATGCCGGCCAAATGTCAATCAACACCGAACACACACGGGGAGCCATAAAAGATCGGATGGAGTACACATATAACGCTATAAAGAGACCCTGACAGACACTTTTATATATCGGATACCCCGGCAAAGTGAGTGAGTGAGATCGAGATCAAAGTGATAGCTTCGTATAAGGCGCAAAAGAATAAATATGAAACATAAACACGGCAAGGTAAATATAATTTACAATTGAAAACGAACAATGGTTACCCTAAAAGCAATCTGATTGTACAGATCAGCACTATTATTCACCTTGTTCATTGTTTTATGAGTTGGGTTTCCTTTTGAGTGTAGAGTATCATAGAAAAGTAAGTAACTGTCGTGTGACACCACCAGACAAGTTGGCACTGCGTCTTGGAAACTTAAGGCAAGTTATGAAAGAATATATATAAAAGTGAGTTAATAAATAGGGAAGTATAAAGTTTATTAATTTATTTATATTTTGTGTAAAATGTAATGTAATTCCCAGCTTTCAAGTCACATCTTTCTGAAACGCACTGTACAGCAAACGCTTATACAGCAACTTGTCCAAATCTAGGCAAGTCTTTTTTGGTCTTTGAAGTCAGGGGAGCGTCAATCTAAAACAGACACTTCAAGTTCAATTGAAAAATGCGGCATAAGGGAGCGCGGAGAGACTACAAATCCAAGAATAAAGACCAACCGCATTGCCAGACAATGGCAACTCGCACACGCGAATTGTAAACAAACGGATTGAGGCTGGGCTCTCGATCTAAGCCAGCTGTTGATACGCTTTTAGACAAGTTTTCCGTGGCATAAGTGACTCTGGGCCTCGATCGTGTCTAAAGCACTATAGACTCAAACTCCGGCCGAGAACTCCAGCCGCCAGACAACACCAGAGACAAGTCAAGTCAGCTGAACTCGGTGTGCGATTTTATGCATGCAAATTAGTTTTTGAACCTGTTGCAATTTGCTCTAACCCCACTCTACCCCCTTTTGAAATAGTATGGTGTTCCCAAGCAGAATGCTAATTGGGGGGAACGGGAGAACGAGAACGAGTGGAGGTCCCTGAAACAAACTCATGAAAAATAGTTCACAAATTAAGCTCCAGAGAACTCCATCTCCGGCTGCAAGAAGCTCACTCGTGCATGTCCTAGAGACATGCGTGAGAAAATCATCACAGAACTTCCCACGGCAGCGACTGCAAATTTATGCAATGCCAGAAGCAACAGCAAAGCTGTATGTAACTAAAAAGGGTCTAGGTCTAGTCTCCGGATCCACCCGGATGGTGTTGCAGCTCCTGATGGCCAATTGCCTGATTTTATACTTGTAAATAACCCGGCCGAGATGAGGATGTTCTTCTGCCGGGCAACAATGTTTTGCATTCAGCTGGAGGCTGACTTTAACACATTTTTAGGTTGATGCCTCTGCCGAATAGCTCTGGAATTATGTTCTTAAATGTTACGATCAGAAAGTGCAGAGTAACTGGGCTTCAAGTGCAGTGATCTGCCTTTGGGCAGCTATTTACACTTAGTATTTTAATAGGAAGTGTAATTCTTTCTGTTTTATCTATGAGGATTTAACGAGTACAAGTACGAAGACCTAAGATTTGTCTTATCTTAAATATATCCCCTTAATCCTAGTTGATCCAAGTTCATCTATTCACAACTTCTAAACCAAAAACTAACAGTTAATCTGCCATAAGTGGGTTAACATTTGATTTGGCAAACTGGAAAGAAATAATGACTTCTGCGGTTGCTTTCCCATCCGAGGTGTTAATAAAAACGAAACTTAAGCAAACAATGAACTTCTTCTCGAGCCTCAAAAGTTGCCAGTAATTTCCTCACACAAAGCACCCAGAAATTCCATCCACAAGTGAATGCAAATCAAACCGCAAAAAGAACATAGATTAATGTTAGAATATGAAAAAAAGTGAAGAGAAAAGGTGGTAAAAAGCAGCAGTAGCCGAAGAGGAATCACAAAGAAAGATAAATGATGCGGCGGAAACGGAAATATCTTAGCCAAGTTACGGCAATTTGTGGTTTTAATAGCTCAGCGTCTTACGGTTTTATGGGCCCTGGTAATTGAGAACCCAGAACATGCCACCAGACACCTCATGCCGGGTGACAAATTAAGGGGTTCGGTGGCGGGCTCTCCGGCTCCTGTGTCTCTTCATTTAATCGCCGAGCACTTTTCCACATCTCCTGCAACGTGACGGATGATGTCCGATGAAATATGCAAAATATTTTTCAAACCAGAAAGAGAAAAATAGCGGAATAGTCGCGGTGGTTGCACAAAGCTGAAGAAAAATACACACAAAGTAGTTTACAATTACTGCAAGTGAAAAAAGTGCAAATAAATCACCGTGGGAAAGAGTTTATGTAAGAGGAAATTAGGAGACAAGCGCCAAACAATTATCATAAATTTTATTTAACAAATTAAACACAATTGGCAGCCAATAAGGAATATGGCATTAAAGGCTAAACGATGCGAAACCAAAAGTGGGAAATATGAAACGGCAAAAAGTCAAATATAAAACCACTTGGCTTCAAAGCCCCTCACAATTCCCCCCCAAAAAGAGTTTTCAGCTACCAGTTTCAGTCAAAATAAAATTGAAAAAAAAGAAGGCAAACAATTGTCGCGACAATTTTACCCCGGGTATCAAGTTACCCCAGACAGAAATACATATATCCCAGCCCCACACTTTATTTTACAACAATTACAGTGTTTAGGGCTCGAAGAAAAGCCGCAAGTGACATAATTTTTTGTATTTTTCTTTCGAGAGGCTTAGGCCATTCAAACGGGAGGCCAGTACAAAATTTATTTGCCTGATTTTCAATTAAAAAAACATTGTGTAACGCCTGAAAGACCGAGTGAGAGATAGAGAGAAACGAAAATGAAAGTAGGGATTAAGTGCGTGTGATATATGATATGGGGCTTGGGTTATGCATGTGGGAATTAAATTGGTGTGGGAATATTTTTTCGCAATATCTGTAATAAAATGAATTTTCAAAGAGATAAATTTATCAAAATTTATGGAAGTATATTCATAGAAAGTTCAAAATATTTGCTCAACTGTAAACAGAAATCAATTTAAGGTGATTAATCAAATACTGCAATTAAATCTTTTACTAAAAGCATAATTATCCCATTAATATGCCAAAAAGCAATGCAGTAAAATATGTGTGGAATGTCGGCGCATGGAAAATCGCTTGACATCAAACATTTTTCCCCATAACTTTGAGATAATTAAAGCGATGCTTGAGGTTGCGCTATGTAAATATATTTTTTTTAAACGAAAAACGCACGCTTCAGCAATTTATCAATGAAATAATGACCCGCCGCTGGTGTCAGTCAAAGTTTAATTTTGATCCCAGGCTTAACATAAAATTTCACAGAGATTAAACCTCAGCGGCCCGAAGTGTTGCAATGTCAGAGTTGTGCCACCGAAAAAATATTAAAAAAAAAATAGGGGATTATACATGGGAAGTACAAATCGATCTGTGTCGGTTGCGTTGACTGACAATTGATACACGCACAGAAAAAATATTTGTATTAATTTTCAATAAAATAATATTATTTCAACTAGTTACAAACATTTTTAAAGCATTGCAGGAAAAAAATAATATATAATTCAAGTAAAGTGTCAATGTTTTCAGTTCAAAACTCAACATTTATTCAAAGTGTACTGTAAAATACAGACAACAATATAAATTGTGTACTCAGTGCTTGGCAGACTTGGCCCTGACAGTCATCAATCTGCGTCATGTTAATCAATTTTATTAGCATTAGATATAATTTCTTGTCTTATTTCATTTTTTATGTACATTTCTTGTGTCTCGTCGTTTTGTTATCGTTGGTGGCGGATGGGTTTCTGTTCCGTCTTTCGGCCTGGAAGTGTTCGAGTGTTGTAGCACTTTTTCAAGTACAATTCAAATAGAAAAAACGCACAAAAAATACATCAAAAGTCAACGTTGAAGTGCACTCAAGTGCGGCAACTCATCAAAGTAACGAGCAACAAAAAAAAAAAAATTGAATGAAATTATGAATGAGCTGGCAAACTGTCGGCTTGTATGTATCTCTTCTAGATCTGCGTGAATGACAATGCCGATTTCTTGAATCTCTATTTATAGTCGGGCTCCAAACCGAAGGTCAGTGGAGACCTCTAGGCCTAGGAAATCCATTATGGATCTTCCAAATCGAAAACGAAAACGAAAACAAAAACGCAAACGCCAAGTGGCGATTAATTCGATGGCACTTCCATATTTGTAGGCATATAATTTTGAAGAGAGACTTAAAACAACAACAAAAAAACATCTACCGAAATTAAAAATAAATATATAGTATATAGAGGTACGAATAATAAATTATAAACAAATTGAGCTTGAGCTTTAATCTGTTTTTTGTGTGTGTGTGGGATTTAGCCACTGATGACTGTAACATTTTCTGCGTAATTTAAAAAAAGGAAACGAACTTGAATGCCTTTAGGGTCTTAGTCATTTTTAAACCATTTAAATGTGAATTTAAGAGACTAAGATAGCCAGTATAATCTGTAATTAACTTAATGGTAACGCCCATTTAACACATTTTAAATGAAAATCCATGACATATCGGTTTTTGGTTGAATAATTAATATTTTGAAAGGGAT